CTATGCATTAATTCATTGCTTGACTGAAAATTGAGATGTATTCACCTTGGCAGCATTTGTCTAGTGTGTATTTATGCATAGCTTTGGCATATGATAAAAAAACAAATTACATTTTGCTTGTTTTACTAAAACATATAATTTTCAGTACACATACACACACACACACACACACATAAATATATATATATATATATATATATATATATATACACACACACTCACATATATACATATATATGCAATAGCACCATGAAACACACAGCCCTCATATTTAATAAAATCATAGCCTTTTAAAGTTAATCATCGCATTAACCCATAGTAAAATTCCTGTTTTTCTGTCCAAAAATTTAAAACCTATTGAAATTATAACTAATTTTCTTGACAATATAAGATCTTTAGGCCTTTTTTATAGCCTTAAACTTGGTAAAAAAATTAATTTTAGATTTTAAAGACCCTGGTTCATTGCCAAATCCCTGACAATATTCAAGAAATGGATAAAAACCCCTCTCTCATGCATTTCACCATTTCTTCAACCCCTCTCTGTTCTCGTCTAGACATAAAGACGTTTGAAACTTTCTCATGCTATTTCCTCCTCAGATGAATGGCTTGTTGTACTCCTCATGTGCTTCAGATGAAAGCTCGTGCTAAATTAATGAATGTTAGTGTGTGTCTCACTGGTGCTGGGGACGGGACACTTCTCGCAGGGTTTATTCCAGGCCCGGCCGATGTTGTATGAGCAGCAGCAGAACTTCTTGGTCATATTGAAGGTCAGCTCTCCATCACATGTGGCGTTATCAGAGTAGTAGTTCCTGTAGCACAAGCTCTTCCTCATGTCTGAACACACAGCACAACAAACGCGTCACAGTCTGCTCTGAAGGAAACCGCTGGCGTGATGCGTGTAGCGTGACTCACCCATGCAGTTGTTTCCTCCGTTGATCTGCATGTACTCCGGAGGGCAGATGCAGGTGTAGTTCCCAATGGTGTTGTAACACTGACCCGGACCACAGATGCCGGGACGCTCACACTCATCCACATCTACACACACACAATTAATCAATATTTTAAGGCAGTGGCTATTTGCACTAAGTGTAAATAGTATATTTTCTTAGCAATAGATGCTATTTACACTAAGTGCAAATAGCAATGTATTCTATTTACACTGCGCAAATAACAATGGATTCTATTTACACTGTGCAAATAGCAATGGATTCTATTTACACTGCGCAAATAACAATGGATTCTATTTACACTGTGCAAATAGCAATGGATTCTATTTACACTAAGTGCAAATAGCAATGGATTCTATTTACACTACACTAAAATAGCAAGATTTTCTGCTATTTGTACTACTTGCTGCAACAAGTGGTAATTATCTGCACCTCAGTATTGTAATACATTATAAAATAGTATGCAATAATAACGTATTGAGTGTAAATTATCATTTTAATTTAAATTATTAAATGGATGCAAAGCCCTCCCTACCCATAACCGTACCCGATACTTTATTTTAAACTTTTTGATTATTTCTTTAATTTTTATTGACAATTTCCGATGTGATATGAGATTTGAAAAGGGAGAAAAAAAGGCCTCTGCCAACAAGGCATGCTATTTGCACTTAGTGTAAATAGACACTCGGATATTTTAATTCAAATGCATTTTAAACTGACTCACACTTTTGTTGCTTCATGCTAATTTTTTATAATGATGCTGGAAAAAGAGTGTACAGAGTGTGAAGCACTACAGAAATAAAGCTGACTTCGTGAGAGCGACAGAGAGAGTGTGTGAAAGAGGAAGTTGGACTGACCTTCACAGATCCTGGTGTCTTCATTGAGTGCAAAACCTTTCGGACATTCACAGTGGAAACTGCCAAACGTGTTGATGCAGTTTCCTCCCTGACACAGACCAGGCAGCTCCTGACACTCGTTGATATCTGACACACAGACAGAGAGCTCAGCATGCAGCACTGGAGGACGTGTGTGTGTGTGTGTGTGTGTGTGTTGTAGATCTACCCTCTAGTATCACAGTGATGGGATTGGGTCGGAATCCTTCTCCTCCAGGACACAGAATCCTGTACGCCGCTGAGAGAAACAAACAACACATCAGAGAATGATAAATATACCAACAACTATAATGATAATCATTAATGATAACTATAACAATAACCAGTGTCAGGTAGCAACCGCTTACATGTAATCTAGATTATGTAATCGGATTCCAAAATGTAAGGACTTGTAATTAGATTACATTACATTTTAAAATACTCGTATTCGGACAACAGTTACTTTTTTTATTGATTAAACGATTACATATTATTCACATGGTCACATGACATGCAGGTAAACAGGTATAACCGTGTGTGTCTCACTGGAGTTGAGCGGCGGACAGGTCTCGCAGGGTGACCCCCAGGCCTGACCCAGAGAGCAGCAGCAGGACGCTTTGGAAACTCCCACTCCGATCTCGGTCGAGCAGTCCAGACTGTCGGAGAAATCGCCGCGATATCGCACCTCCAGATAGCAGTTTCCAGAGCGAGTGTCTGCAAGACAGACAGACAGAAGTCATCATGAGTGCTGCGGCGCAGGCGGTGGCTGCATCTGCTTGGGTTCAGGCGTCTCACCGACGCAACCAACTCCAGTGGGGTTAAGCTCGAAGTCCGGCGGACAGGTGCAGATGTAACTGCCCGGCGTGTTCCGGCACAGGCCGCTGATGCAGGAGGTGGGGCTGGTGCACTCGTTCACATCTGACACAGAACGCAGAGAGAACAGAGGGATCAGAGGAGAGGTCAAACGTGTCAGTGTCTGGTGTGCAGTGCTGGGAAGGTTACTTTGGAAATGTGATAGGTTACAGATTTCAAGTTACTCTATCTAAAATGTAATAAGTAGTGTAAGTATTTCAATTACTTTATTAAAGTAATGTAACTGATTACATTTGATTACTTTTCTAAATTTCTAAAGAATGTTTTCAACTGTTAATAATTTTGAAACATGTAAAGCAGGCAGGATTAATCTCACAGTAGAACTCAACACTGATTACTGTCAGACTTTCAGAATCCTTCATCACTTGAATTAAGATTATAATAATTAAAATTTTTTAACACAGCCACCGCAAAATCAGACTTACTTTGAGATCATTCTGAGGTTAAATACTGATTTAAAATCATAACAAGAAATAGTTTAGTAACTATGATACTGATTTTGAAATCAAATCTTTGTATAGCTATGACAGAAAACACTGGCATCTAACAATGCTTAAAACAGTTAATCTTAAAAAATAAAGGAAATAAAACAGTTATCGTGTCCTAGACTCCTGGTGTCTTATATTTTAGAGCAGTCAATGCAATTTATGAAAGAAATCAGCTAAATCTGTATGTGGGGGTGCGTGTGGAAAAAATTCAGATGTATCTCCCTTTGTAATTGTTAACATTTTCATAAGTAACTGTAATTGAATTAAACATTTATTCTCAGTAACTGTAATTGATTACAGTTACATTTATTTTGTAATTTAGTTACATGTAACTAGTTAGTTCCCAGCACTGCTGGTGCGTGAGCTGACCCCAGACCTGTGCAGTTTCCTCCGCTGTGGTCCAGCTCGTACCCGGGGTCACACAGGCACCGGAACAGACCCGGGATATTGCGGCAGCGGCCGTTCACGCAGATGTCTGCAAACGTGCACTCATCTATGTCTGTGGAGACACACACACACAACAGCTGTGATGCATTATGGGTCTTGATCTGGAGGAACTGGACTCACAGGAAGCTGCAGAACCGCACCGCTCTGAGGCACAAACACACACAGATACACAGATATACACTCCCATAAACACACACACACACTCACTCAAGCACACACACACACACACACACACACACACAGAGATACACACTCCCATAAACACACACAGACACTCACTCAAGCACAGACACACACACACACACACACACACACACACACACACACACAACAGTCAAAAGCATGAGCATTCCTCTCCACACTGACACTCCCATCTGAGAGGCCAGGCCAAACTGGGTTTAACCCCCTGGGGTCGACAGTTCCGGCGGCGGAACTTTTTGCAGATTTGAATGTTGACAGCGAAAAGAACTAAAATGCTCCTTCATACTTGACCGTACATATAAGAGTAATACAGCATTTAAATCTAGACAGACAGACAGGTAAGACAGACAGACAGACGGACAGACAGGTAAGACAGACAGTCAGACGGACAGACAGACAGACAGGTAAGACAGACAGATAGACAGACAGGTAAGACAGACAAACAGACAGACAGACAGACAGCCAGCCAGACAGACAGACAGGTAAGACAGACAGACAGACAGACAGACAAGACAGACAAGTAAGACAGACAGGTAAGACCAAGTCAGGAGGAGTGTCTCACCTTCACAGGCTTTCCCGTCTGCGGTGGGGATGAAGCCCATGTCACACTCACAGCGGTATCCACCCGCGACGTTCAGACAGTGTCCGTTCTCACACAGATTCACGTTCTCCGCACACTCATCCGTGTCTACAGGACACACACATGCATTAACAGCGGCATCACGTCGTGTGTGTGTGTGTGTGTGTGTGTGTGTGTGTGTGTGAGTCCGTACCGACGCAGTAGAAGCCGTCTCCCGCGAATCCCTCTTTGCACAGGCAGCGGTAGGAGCCCATGGTGTTCATGCAGTCTGCGCTGGGGCTGCACAGGTGCGTCCCGTTAGAACACTCGTCCAGATCTGAAACAGGAAACAGGAAACAGCTCTGCTGCACACCTGACCCCCATCAGTCCAAACACAGCAGGTCACGAGTGAGAGAGCGAGAGTTCATACCTGTGCATCTGATCCCGTTCCCGATCCAACCCGGAGCGCAGCTGCATCTGAAGCTGCCGGCGGTGTTCGTACAGCTCGCGTGTCCGTCGCAGTTATGAGCGCCGATCTCACACTCGTTAATATCTAAATCACACACACACACACACACATTTACATAAAGATTTCTTTAAAAGCCTTAATTCAAAAGATAGAATCCATCAGTGGTGGAAAGACGGAACAAAAAGTGTTGAACTTGAAAATTGTTTATGCGCAAATGCACTTGCTAAATGAAGGCGGATTGTATAGAATGGATTAAAAAAAAATACGTTTATTAACGAGCTGCAGTTTTATTACACACGCGCTGGCACAGATGCAGTATATTAACGCCACGGGTCATCAATAAGGTGCAGATTGGTCCTCAATTTGTCCACAAACGGAGGAAAATAGCAGAGTAAAAGTACCGATACATCACTTAAAATGTACTCAAGTAAAAGTAAAAGTACACAATTTTTAAACTAGTCAAAGTACAATTACTGATAAAAACTACTTACTTACTGTAACGTGAGTATTTGTAATTTGTTACTTCACACCCCTGGAATCCATGAACTAAACCAACAAGACTCGAATCAAAGTTCATTATAAACTTTGATTTGAAGCAAAAAAGTATTTGGAAATGTGATAAAAACTTAACTTAACCGCTTTAATGAGGGGAAAAAATTACAATCCCATGAAGAATTGCAAATGACTTAATGGAGTTAAAAACTATAGTCAGATATTGAAATATTAATTTAAAGTTGTTGATCGTATCTATCGAAATATATTTTAAGATTTTTGCAAACTATGTATAAATATTTTGGTAACACTTTACAATAAGGTTCCATTTGTTAACATTAGTTAACATGAATTAACAATGAAAACAACTTCTAAAGCATTTATTAATATTAGTTCATGTTAATTTCATCATTTACTAATACATTATTAAAATGAAAACTTGTATGAACAGTTGTATCGAACTAATGTTAACAAAGATTAATAAATACTCTAACAAATGTATTGCACATTGTTAGTTATTGATAGTTAATGCATTAATTAACTAATGTTAACTAATGGGACCTTACTGTAAAGTGTATATATATATATATATATATATATATATATATATATACACA